GACTGAGGAGGGTGGGGAGACAGGGCCCTGGTGAACACTGGGCACCAGGGAGAGGCCTGGGAGAGATGGGCAGGGGATGAGTATGAAACCATTAACAGCAAGTTATGATAACGTGCCATCCCCAGGAGCGTGGACAGTGAGATCCTCTGGCAATAGGGACAACAAGGGGCTAATACTGCTGGGGCAAACTAATGCTACACAATTAGAAGCAGCAAGGCATTGCAAAGGAGGGCCGGGAGACCCCCGCTGGCAATGCACCCTCTCTGGTGCAAGTCAGATTTGAGGATTAGAAAGTTCTTTCCACAATAACTGATGATAGCTGGCCCTAAACAAACTAACTGTACATGGTACAACTGAGCGCAGACTGCAGGCATAAGAGCTCAGGTAGCTTGCACCACGAAGAAAGCTCGGCAAAGTAAACTAGAGTACAGCTGGTGATGAACGGGGTTGCTGAAGGCAAGGAGTGGCTTCTGTCCCAGAGAGGAACCAGGGCCCCTTAAAAAGGGGGACAGCACTGCCTGCAACTAATAGTCTGTGCCTACTCAAGGCAATCAACGGGTTCATTCAACTAGCTCTTTCAGCAGTCACCATGGGGGCTAAGACTAGAGGGAAAGCTCTTCCACTGTTTCAGAGCCACATTTTTATCTAGTAAGTTGCCTAATGCTGATGCAATTGCTATTTTTAACTCAAAACAACAAAATACATCTAATTGTATTGATACATGTTTTATGTACATGTGTACATAGTGAAAGTTTAAGTGATATGAATTGCTTAACAAACACAAGCAGAAAATTAGTAGACGTTGATAGAAAACTCAATAGCTTTTCCTAAGGGGTCTTCTCTTACCCTGAATTTTCCAAGAGACCTAGGGACCCACAGTCCCCAAAGGGAGCTGTCACAGGAAGTGATGACTTTGACACCCGTGGGGTGGGGATGGGAATTTCATCAATCTGTGGCCGCCATTGCGTCTCACCACCACACTGTGGCGCTATTGATAGCTGGTTCTGCCCAGTCCCATGAACTTAGCCGATGAGTAGGTTCTCTTGCTACTGATAGATCCTCCTGGGGCCTCTGCTCAGGTTTTCTAAGCTCAGGCAAGGGGGCTCCTGCTGCTTGACTCAATCTGATGATACTTCAGTCTGCGTATTCCCAGCAGCAGAACTCCATGGGCCACCTGCCAAACACATCTTCAAGGGGGTGTTACCCTCCCAAAAGGTGACCAGGGTGACCTTTAGTTCTTCTCTTAGCAGAAGCTAAATAACAGCATCATAATTTGAATCTTCAGCGGGATATCCCCTCCAGGAATTACAATTATAATCGTAATTCCTCTCCAGCAGGAATAATTTACTAAGATTCTTTTGTTAGGTCAGTGTAAACCTCTCCGATCATTTGATCAGATGAGAAGCCACTAGTAGAAATACTGAGGGAAGAGGTGGGAAACTGAGATTGTGGGTTAGCCTTTATTAGTTCATGAATTCCTAACAGTGGGTCCTTAAAAAGTGACTTACCCTTCATGTGCCTCAAGTTTCTCACCCGTAAAAACAAACAATATAAGCACCTACCTCTCAAGGATGGCATGAGAATTAAATGAGATGATTCACATCAGGCTCTTAGCTCAGTGTCTTGCACATCATGAATAATAAGTGTAGCTATGATTATCATTATTATTATTATTTCACTACAATGTTTGTTTGCTGTTCTATCCTAGTACCTAGAGCAGTACCAGGATATCCAGGACCCTCTGTACATATTTACTGAATGAAAATCATACTGCTTAATGGTAATATGCCACACTGTGTTCTTCAGCTTCGTATTCAGTGATAGACGCAGAACACAATTGCAGGTGTGTACCCCCCTATGCTACCTGGCAGGTAGGTTATGAGTTGTTTCTTTTTCCTTTTTTTTTTTTTTTTTTTTGAGACAGGGTCTTGCTCCGTTGCCCAGGCTGGAGTGCAGTGGTGAAGCCTCAGCTCACTGCAACATCTGCCTCCTAGGCTCAAGCCATCCTCCCCGCTCAGCCTCCCTTTGAGTAGCTGAGACCACAGGCACATGCCACCAAACCCCACTAACTTTTTAAATTTTTCGTAGAGACAGGGTTTTGCCATGTTGCCAGGTTGGTCTCAAACTCCTGGGCTCAAGTGATCCTCCCTCCTTGGCCTCATCAGGTGCCGGGATTATAGGTATGAGCCACCGCGCCTGGCCTATCTGTTCTTTTCTAACAGTAAAGACAGAATTGGCTCAAGAAATACATAGTCCAACTGTGAGGTTTCTTGTTTGAATCACCTTTCTGAATTGTTATATGAAGAAATGTAAATAGTATATGAGGAAAATAAGTTATGAATATTAAATCAGCATGAACAAATAGTAAGTTGTACTTGTTAAAATTGTCGTAAACTTCTGACTCCTATCAAATTAAATTTAAATAATGAAGTCAAATATGAATAGACAGGGGTCATGTGGGAGAGTGCAGTCTGGATCCCAAATTTGTACAATAAAAGAGAACTGCTAGAAAATCATTTTGAGCAAGGGACTGATAGGCGTTACCTGAGAAATAAAAGCCCTAGCCCCTGCCTTCGGTTGCTTACGTTCTGGTTGAAGACATAGAATAATGCACAACCCATGTTGGAAGTTGGAGAGCTCAGGCAGTCAGGATGGGCAGGAGCTGGAATCAAGGATGGCAGGACTCTGGGTAAAGCAGAGAGGTGTAGAGAGGGCCCCCAGGACCAGAGCCAGCACAAGCCAAGTGTGAGATCAGGAGAGCTAAGAGTTCCAGAGAAGACTGACCTGATAGATCTGAGGGTCTGTTTGGGAGACATTTTCTAGAACCTTCTCTTGAAAGCAACGGGGAGGCTTTGAAGGCCATTGAGAAGTGGAGGGATATGTGAATTTGTCCTGAATTCTCAGACATTTGGATTCACTCTTTTTTTTTTTTTTTTTTTTATGGAGTCTTGCTCTGTGGTCCAGGCTGGAATGCAGTGGCATGGTCTTGGCTCACTGCTACCTCCACCTCCCAGGTTCAGGTGATTCTTCTGTCTCAGCCCCCCAAGTAACTGGGATTACAGGCACCCACCATCCCACCCGGCTAGTTTTTTTATTTTTAGTAGAGACAGGATTTCATCATGTTGGCCAGGCTGGTCTCGAACTCCTGTCCTCAAGTGATCCTCCCACCTCAGCCTCCCAAAGTGCTGGGATTGCAGGTGTGAGCCACCACACCCAGCCTGGTTTCACTTTTGAGAACACATCTAAGTCTCCGTGATGCTTAGAATCATTGTTGATTTTTCTTGGTCCTCATTTAGCGTGGAGGACAAAGCGAGCTGGAAACAGACTCAGGGCCTGCAATAAGGACAGAGGTGAGAGGGTGCAGAAGGAGACATTCTCAGGAATCTGAGTTTACCAGGAACTCCTCTTATCAGGGAGAGAGCTAGCCCCTTTCTGTCTCTTAGAGAGGCTGTGCCCAGTGGCCAAGGTGTCATGCTGCCCATCACTCACTCACTTGCTAAGTCCCGAGCATCTTTTACGAAGAGGGAAAAAATAATAGAGTCGTGATAAGTGCTAATATAGACCTTATGGTACCCTGTAGACACACACAAGAGGTGGGCGTGCGATCAGAGAGGCTTCCTAGACAAAATGGCACCTAACTTGGATCTGATAACCACATTCAATGAAGCTTGGTGGCACCTAAACTCAACACACGCCAATTATTTCTGAAATAACAGCTTCCTAAATCCTATGAAAGGCTACATGTAATCAGTCCCACCCTAACAAACCCAGCTTTCTGCCTAATCCTCTCTCTCAGTTATTCCACATGTATTTGTGGAGCATCTATTACTTGACAGGGGCTGGGCTAGGCTCAGGACATACAGGTGAAAGAACAGATGCCCCCATTAGGTGCCACGGAGAAACCCAGGGTGGGGTGAGAGGGTGTATCTCAGACCATAGGGACTGGGGCAGGGAAGGCTTTGATGACTGTCTCTGCCAGGCAGAGGGCTTTGAACGGACCAACAACACCTACCTGGTTATCAAAGAGGCATTCCTTTCCATAAAGAGTTGGCTTCCCCCGTTGGCTGATGGCTGCTGCTGCTAATTCAATAGGCAGTCTCAAACCCTCTTCTAGATGTAAGGCCCTGGAAGGGATCAGTGATGAGACTTAATCCCCACTCTCAAGGGACACGACAAAATTGGGCATTTGTATAAGCTATGCCCTTTAGGAGGTGTTTTTGCATACATATTTTCACAGTTGATTCGCTTATTAATTTCTCGTCAGGGATGTTTCCCTTGCCCTTCCCTTACGGAAACCACGACTCAAAGCGGTCACCCGACTATTAAGGGATGGGCACAAGATTTTAACCCAGATCCGTGCCCCTTCAGTAGCCAACCACCGCTCCTCATGAGGCTTACAATCCCGTTTGCGGGTAGAGACGATACAAATAAGCCCATAATACAGGCCTTTCCTAACTGATATGTTCACTCTCCTCTCCTCTTGTTTAGAAATGTTTCCCGGGACTCCCTCCACTGAGCTGGCGCACTCCTAACAGCAGCCATCAGTTTGGGCACCCCGGACAGCCCAGGGATCAGGGATCCCGAAGGCCGTGAGGACCAAGGACCGGGCGCTGGGGTGGGGGTGGAGGGCATGGAGCCTGGGGTTTAGGCCTGAGGTGCCCATGTTGGGCGGCAGGAAGAGGCAAGGCGTGTGGGTCTGTGGCCGTACCCACGGGTGCTGCGGAGCGAGGTGTGGGCCCTCAGAGTTCCGCGGCGCCATGGGCTGGATCTGAGAAGGCGTGCACCGACCCCCTGAGAGGGGCCACACTTGTCTAGGACGATGGCTGGTGTTAGGGAGTCCTTGGAAGTCACCCTAAAGGGCGAAAAGAGGCCCTAGCAAATCCTGGTATCCCGGAGCTGCTGCTAGCGATGTGACTTGCCCCAGTGGTCGAGACCGTGTAGACCCCAAGCAGGGGCCATTTGGTGGGGGCCTCACTCTGGGTCCAGCTCCACGTGGCACCATGAACAATAACTTCTGCCGGGCTCTGGTGGACCGGAGGCCCCTGGGGCCCCCCAGCTGCATGCAGCTGGGCGTCGTGCCCCCTCCCCGGCAGGCGCCCCTGCCTCCCGCCGAGCCCCTAGGCAACGTGCCCTTCCTGCTGTACTCGGGCCCAGCCGAGCAGCCCTACTACGACGCCTACGCGGGGGTGTTCCCCTATGTGCCGTTCCCCGGTGCCTTCGGGGTCTACGAATACCCCTTCGAGCCAGCATTCATCCAGAAGCGCAACGAGCGCGAGCGGCAGCGCGTTAAGTGCGTCAACGAAGGCTACGCGCGCCTCCGCGGCCACCTCCCCGGCGCCCTGGCAGAGAAACGACTTAGCAAGGTGGAGACGCTGCGCGCCGCCATCCGCTACATCAAGTACCTGCAGGAGCTGCTGAGCTCGGCCCCAGACGGCGCGACG